ATGCATGTGTAAACATATTATGCACATGCGCAGAAAGTTTGTAGCTTTGAGGTCTGGATTATAGATCATTCCGAATTATGGACGTCCGGATTAAAGACTTTTCACTGTATAATATAAAGAACATTATTTGAAAGATGGAACTTTTTTTCCGCTCATGCACAATCTAAAAGAGAAAAACAAAATAGGTTGCTATGTATTATGGAGTTCGCCAAGTGAACTATTCTTGGCGCAAACTGGAAGAAAAAAAAAAAAAAAAAAACACCAGCATAAATGTTTAAATTTCTCCATAAGTTTCATGTCAAATTTTACAAAATTTAATATTTAGGCATAATTTGAGTCGTAGAATCGAAATATGTAAAAAAATTGGTATGTTATTTCAGAAAAAATCCGATTTTGTGTCAAAATACCTATGTTATGTTAGAATAGTGCTATATATAAATCTAATATATATCCTAAGTTGCGCTTTCAAAGCATGAAAAATGCAATTTGAATTTTGTCCATCAGCCCAGTAGAACGGGAGATATAGAACTGTCCATTCCCCCCCCCCACAGTGTACATATGATCTTACTACTATTTTCTCTGTTCTCATAGCCTAGTCCTCTACAATCCCTTTAACTCAAAACTTATTACAAATATGTCAAAAGAATTCTGTCAAACTCTGTCTGGTTGAATAGCTTCAAAAAATAAATATATAAAAAAAATTCTACAGTTTCGTATTTATTTTGATTGGAATTAAAAGGGACAGCTGTTATTGCTAATGAGAACTGTTCAGTGTGATTTACGTCTGGGGTGCAATTGATGATAACAAAAATATATTTAGTGATTTTTTTTTTATTTCGACAATTTTGATTAAAATTACATTTCTCCTCAAATTTATCAATTCATATTGTACAGATTGTGTTTCACATTTTTAGAAGGATTTGGGGGATTGATTTCCATTACTCTCCAGGGTCCATCAATCATGGTGAATTGTACTTAGATGGAGCTCTTTTCAAGAGACCAAAGGTACAACAGTCTATTAGGTGAAATATCAAGGGAATTCACAGGAATATGTTGACAATGTAAATGTGGAATACCTGTATCAGTCTTCCATTTTTTTCAGGAATGCAGTAGTACTTTTCAAAGTATGACTTGTTGCTTTGTCTTGATGATGTTTCACTCTTTGAAACTCGCTGGGATAAAGAAATGGAATTTCTTCTATAAATATTATACGTAAAATGTTCTCTTAATAGTTTTTGTGTTGATTTAAATTTTTTACCCATTCTTCTTATTTTTAATTTCCCATTGAAGAGAATCCTGCACTAGTCAAAAGCCCTTTCTAAAACTTTCTTTGCATTGATGGAACTAGGTTTGTACTTTTTTTTTTTTTTTTCCCGCTTCATTTTTAAAAAAATAACTGGACCTTTTTATTTTTTGTTGCAGTCATTTAAGTAAATCCTTGCTGCTTCAAAGGTCTGTCTATTTCCTGCAAAATAGTTTCATACAGATTTCCCAAAATTGTTCTGTGTTCAGCCACATACATTGGTAAAAGCTTGTAAACATTATTTTTTTAGCTTTTTTAAGCTGTAAATCTTGGTTTATTTTATTTATTGTCACTACAGTTCTATTTAAAGACTATTTAAAGACTGTGCAATTGATTTCCGCATTGGCAGATTTTCTTTTGTTGCCAATAGCTTTAAAAACATTGGAAACAGTACATACCTTTTGGAGTTTTCTTTCCATGTGGAAGTAACGATTGACAGTTTTTCCCTTTCTGATTAATAATGTTGCTTATTTTTCGCTTCTAAATTTTACTACCATGCATTTTGAAACATTTTTGAATTATAGAAGTATTTCTCTTTGGAAAGTGCAAAAGCATATCCTTCAATCCATAGCTTGTTATATGTGACATTTTGAAAGAAGAATAGAAGTTGCAGACGTTATTTTTCATTTCAAATAATCAGCTTTTGCCAGAAATTTTTATTCCAAAATATTTGCTATTTTTTTTTTTTTTTAAATTCTTTATGAAAAATGTTCAATCGTTTTTTTATCAAATCTGTAAACACCCTCTATATTACTGCTTGGATAGTCAGAGACAATTTATCAGACTGGCGTTGAATTCTCATGATGTATTCTTTCATAACTGGATCAAACTTTGAAAGCAATTCTATCATGTTTAGGAGATTCTATTATTAGGCTGAAATAAATGTTCGGTTGTTCTACAAAAGCTAAACATTGCCACATGAGTAGTCTAAAATTATTGGCATGATTGTTTTTAGAACTGCTCTCCAATGCTGAATTTCCATATCGATAATTCGTCAATATTCAGCGTCAGTATTTTTCCCCTTGCTTTAATCGAATGTCCAGTTTTGTCCATGCTCCAAAAACATTTCTGTGATTTAAATATTTTTCATCCAATCAGAATATTCTTTTTGGGGCAAATAGCAGACGAATTATCAAGTAAAATATATAACAAAAGCAAAAAACGGTATAATTTTTAAGAGAATAAGGCGACCAACTTCTCTCGATGACTTCGTCATTCTTAACACTTCCAAATAATATGAGGGGGGAATTTTACAACTTCCTTTATTAAATAGGAAACTCAAATTCTTTAATTTGATGTGGATCCTTCAGCCAGTATTTGATGAGTTTCAAATGGCTTGCTTTCGTTATGTTGGAATGTCTGCTGACTGACACAGGTATTGCTTCCCAGCTCTTGATGAATTTCTGATTTCTGATGATATTATTTTTATTACAACTTCTAGAAATAATTGGGGCGAGGAGGACTGAGTTCCTATTTGTTGAATCCAAAACTATTGCTGTTGATTTGCATGTGGGCAGCTCATCTAAACAGGATTATGGTACTAAAAATTCCTTCATGATATAGCTTAGCTTTCTTCCTTTTTAATTTTTCCTTGGCTGTTTCTTTTTATACTCACTTCTGGACAATGTTTTTCTTTTTCTATTCCATATTGTGATGGAAATATTAAATAAAAAATTCACAGTCCTTTTTTGATTTGAGTCCCTATGGTCAGAACGTAATCATTTTCAATGATAATAAGTAACTACAGTTGCTTTAGAAAATAATAATTCTCTTAGCTGATCTGCTTTTTAAACACGGAAACTGAATGGCTAGGTTAGGTTATTTAATTACGGCAAAGCCTCGAGGGCTATCTGCCTAAGGGGAGGGATGCCTTCATGGAGGATTTTCTAAGGTGTGCGATAATTCATAAACATATACGTGATTATCGTGCTAACATAGATTGATACAGAAAAGCATTCCATAAAAATCCTTAATTACTGAATGGTTTAACTTATATTTTGATTTCGATGTTTATGCCCCCCACATAGGCGGCCACTTGATGCGATCTCCTCTCTGTATCACAGTATGGCCAGGGACTGAAAGTTAGCATAGGTTATTTGTCACACTGTGTGGCTAAGATCAAATATTGGACAAAACATAAGATATGTATGATGTAGTCTGTATTTTAAATCTGTATGAGAGTATTTTAAATCTGTCAATCCAGATATACTTTAAATCTGTTGATCCAGTTTCAAGAGTTGTAGGGGATACAAAATCTTTTGTCATGCTGAGTTGAATTAACATAGCAAATGGAGCGTAATCTTTGGAATAATTTTCATTGTCATTTGCTGTGGTGAGAACTGTAGATGATATACCATGCAACAGATGACCTAAAAAGTGGCTGTTATAAAGAAAATGGTTGACTAGTATGGATATGTTTAGCAATTAACAGCTACACTGATCTTCACAAGCTTTCTGGTGGATTAATGGCTACCATATGATATAAGCTAAATTGTAATTTTTGAGATATATTGTTCAATGAATGTTATTTTGGAAACAGCTGATTTAAAATATGTACTAACTGGATTTTTCATTAAATACAGCCAAACTCCAGGGCTATTTAGCCAGATACCAACTCTAATACATCTTAATTTTTGAATGAAATCATAATTCCAACTGGACTGCCAAATAAGATAAGTTCCAGTATTTTAATTCATCATGTAACTATTTGCCATTAATTTAATTTGCTTCTGTATTGTTTAATTCTTGTATGTTTATTTTTATTTTTTATTTTTTTTTTTTTTTTTTTTTGTATGCTTTTCCTAACGGCCTTCTGCAGCTCCAACATTTCAAATTTCAAAAATTAAATCCTGCCAACCTGATGTAATAAATTAATTCGACACTTTCTCATTCTATAAAATGCTGATAGGATAAAACTATTAAATATGCTTAGTAAGAAGTAAGAGGTACCAAATTTATCATTACTGTAAGTTTTTTAGGAAATAGGGAAATATCGTCTGTGAGACTATTTTGAAGAAGTTTTATTAAGAACTAATATAAACTTTAAAATATTACAGTAACTATGAAAGTTTTCATTAACTGCACATGTCATAGATATGTATTCACAATATGTATATTTCCCCATTTTTTTGTATTTTTATATTTTGTACAAGTTTTGTTTTTAATGAATGCACTCATATGCTTTCTCCCAAGTTAAATATCTGAGCCAAACAAAATTCTTTTAGGATAGGCATTTTTAACTCCAGAATAGGATATGGATAACAGAAGTTTCTCTTTTTCTATTTAGCTGTATTTTCACATGGTAATGCAAATAGAGATTATAATCAATTATTGGATAGCACAATTAATTCAGTAGTCATATTCAAAGAATGTACAGATTTTATGGGCATTCGCTATCTAGATGCAGAATTTTCTATTGAGTAATATAATGAGAAGTTTCTTTAAAAAGATTTAAAAAGAATCTTGTCTGCTGTTAGTTGTGTTAAGAAATATTATGGCTCTTATCAGAGCTGTTTCATCCTCCTCCTCTGCAGGAAAAGAAAAGAAAAATTTCAAAGCATAAAAGCTAGTTATATACAACAATTTCAACCTTTTTTAAATTATTTTTATTGTATAAATGCAAATAGATGCAAATTGTGTGTATAGTAAAATGTTTCCTCTTTTTTTTTTTTTTTTTTTTTTATATATATATTTTTAGGCATTATAAATGTAGTTTTAACTACACCTTTATGGGTTGCAAATTCACGGCTGAAAATGCAAGGTGCTAAGATCTCTACTGAAGATAGAAAACATTTAGGAAAGCATCCAACATACAATGGAATATTAGGTAATTTTTATTTTGTTTTGCCTTCTATATTTTTCAGTTGCACCTTCTGTGAAAATTATATAATTTCATTTCGGACATACAAGTGCTACTTGTTTCATTGGTATATTTGCTAATATTTTCAATTCAAAGGGAACTTTTGGCAGTGAAACAGAATATTTTTTACTTAGATTTTCAGTAAATGAGTTTTTCTTTTGGATAAGTAAAAATATTGTATACTTAAAGTGTAATTAGTAGTTTGATGCAATTTCGTTGATATATATACTTATATTAAATGTTTGAATTATGGTGCACACATTTATATATATTTATATTATATGCTTGCATTATGGTGCGCACATTTATATATGTATGTGTGTGTGAGAGAGAGAAGATAGTATTTTAAAGAATAAAAAAATCTGGCATGGCCAGCTCATGATGTCTTGTCAGTTCCATATTTTAAATAGCAAATGAACTTTTAAGTATCACTTCGGGTTTATTGATAAAAGAAATCTGTTTTATTGTTATTATAACTAGAAAGGTCTGTGATACCAAATTTTGATTATATTTTATTGGATATAATTGGCCATGCATAAAAATGTATTTTTTTAAATTTATACCAACATAATCAAATGTTTGCCCCCCCTTTTTTCCCTAAAAACTGTATTTTATTAGGTTGTTGAATGACACACAATTTAATTGGATTTTAGATAAAAGAAAATTAAGTGCTCATGTTTAAAATGAATACTTTGAAACTACAATAATTTAATTTTCTTTTGTATTATTTCAAAGTATCAACAAATTTAAATTCATTTGCATCTCCATATATATCTCCACAATATTTAGGTACCAGTAAAGTATGCTCATTATTGTTCCCCAATGCTTCAACAATGCTCACCAAATTTTTGATTTTATCATAATATTAGCAGCTTCACTGCCAGCCTTCGTCTGGCTTTTAAATGTACCGAAAAAATGGCTGAAGGGAACACCAAACGTTAAATTTAAAAACTACGTAGAATTTTACTCTGCAGAACAACTTCATAAAAAAAGTTATGTATAACAAATTTACAATGAAATAAGCAATATCCCTTAATACAAATATTAATTATCCTAATAAATAAATTAACCAACTTCCCTTTGCAAAGTCTTAAGAACTCTAATGGTATAAAGGAGGTTAAGAACTTTGTTTCCTAAAAAAATCACTCAAAACTTTTCAATATCTTAAAAACAGAGAAATGAGCAATAAATAACATAAAAGAATACAAAAAACAAAATTTCTGAAAAGCAAAGTATAATTAATGATATTTTATCTTATATTTTCAAGAGAGAAAAAAATTACAATGATTACAACTTTATCCCTTAATACAAATATTAATTATCCTAATAAAAAAAATTAACCAGCTTTCCGTTGAAGAAAAAAAATCATGCAACACTTTTCACTTAAAGTGACAGACAGCTTACAGACAGTGAAATAAGCAAAAAATAACATGAAAGAAACTCAAAAAGCAAAAAATTCCGCGCACAATTTTACTCTGCAGAACAACTTTATCAAAATAATCAATAAAAATGTATTATACATATAAAAAAATGACAATGAAATATGCCAATCTCTTAAAAACAGTGACATAAGAAATACGATGAAAAATTGTTACCAGACCCATATTTCTAAAAGAATGAAACTATTCAAAATGATGCGATTTCATCAAAATTCTATCAACAACAATAAGAAAGGAAAATTGTTGCCAAAGTCACATTTTTAAAGATGTGAGATGTGAGAAGTGTACTTGGAAGCTTCATTTAAAAAATTTTTTTAAAAATACAAAATATTATAATTTTTTCAAAATTCTTTTCGTAAAAGCAGTCACAAGGATAAAAGTTTAACGTGTCCAAAAATCAAAGAAAAATAAACTGTACCTTTTTAAAAATAAACTTTTTTAGAAAAAATCCTGTTGAAAAGGTGTTAAGCTCTTTTTGTTAAATAATTTCATATTTAATCAATTTATTGAAACACGACAAATTTATTATATATAATATATAAATGATGAAATATGCCAATCATCTTAAAAACGATGAATAATAACCATAAAAAATACGATGAAAAATTGTTGCCAAAACCCCATATTTCTAAAAAATGTAACAATTTAAAAATGATGCGCTTTCATCAAAATCTATCAACAACAATAAGACAGGAAAATTTGTGCCAAATCACATTTTTAAAGATCTGAGAAGTGTACTCGGGATTTCATTTAAAAAAATTTTTTTAAATACAATATATTATTATTTTTCCAAAAATTCTTTTGCAAAAGCAGTTGCAGGATGAAAGTTTAATGTTTCCAAAAATCAAGAAAAATAAACTGTACATTTAAAGAAAAAAAAAAAAAAAAAAACCTTTTTATAAAAAATCCGGTTGAAAATGGTGTTAAGCTCCTTTTTTAAATAAATTCGTACTGAATCGATTTATTGAAGAGAATTTTATTTAAGTTTGTAAAATAGCTAAGTACCTACATTTGATGACGATGTGAAAATGGAGTGTGTAGAGTAAAATCTCGCTTTCCTATAGCCCATTATGTCTCAAAATAACGCGATTTTGTCACAAAACATAAAATAAAAAAAAATCGGATTCGAATTTCGAAAAAATCGCTTCGAGGTGCACTGGCTCTTGTCTAGATGCACCTGTGTACCAAATTTTGTAGCCGTGGGTCTATTAGCTTACGCGCTGCGTGAACAAAAGACACACACAGACTCTTTCTTTTATTATATGTAGAGATATTTTTTCAAAAAAATCTGTTCAGAGCTTCAGGTAATATCACTTCCAGCTTATCAGGTTTAGCCACTACCTAATAGCTGTTTTTGTTGATGTAAAGTCTTAAATACTAAAATGAAAAAGTTTTTGGAATACATTTTAATATAGTTTTTCATTAAAAACTGTTATGGATTTCAAGTGAAGTACCACGTATGGTTGTCCAGTTTTACCAATATCTAATCAACTCTTTAACGCAGAAAGCTTAAATACAGAAAACAGAAATTTTGGGGAGTTTGATATGAGTTATTGTGGATAGAAAAATTATTACAAGCAGGCATCGTTTTGTCTGTGTCTGTCCATTCATCCATTCTTTCCATCCATCCACCTATTCATCCATGTATTTATTTATCTATTGTCACCTTCCTTGCCTATATAAGTAAGTTGGAAAGTGATAAAAGTTGATCTGTATTTATGTTACTTGAGAAAAAAGAGGGAAGTTTGTTTTGTAGCATTCCCCCCCCCCAGAAGCGGACTTGTCATCCAAAGCACTCATATATCAAAGCATATTTTTCAATGAAAATAGTGGGAACTTTGATGCTTTATTTCACAACTAAAAAATATTCACAAAAAAATTATAAAATGAAAACATATAGAATAAATTAACCTGTTCTTTGCTTTTGAAGAGAACTGCAATTAACTAGTGGAATCACTGTTATATGTTGGCTCACTGCAACATTTTATTATTAGATGATTTTTATTAACAAACTTATATAGTGACCATTGCTTTTGTGTCCTTTTGATGATTTCATGAAAATGTGGCATTGCATTGTCATTAAACAGATTCATCACTTGCATTACCATGCGACTCCTTTAGTATGTTGGTGTAATCTACAGTCAAAAGTCATTAATCCGGACTCGTTGGGGACTTCGGCGATTCCGGATTATCGATTTTTCCAGATTATAGATCATCAGTTTAAATCTCGTAAGATGGCATGCAGAAATTCTAAAATTAAAAATATCAAACCTTAATTTATGAAATAAAGAACAGTTATAATCTAAAGGGTATCAAAATTTACAAAAAAAAGCTTAATATTTATTTGTTTACTTTATTAAACATTTCTTTCAATGTAAGTAATTTTAAGTTGCTTCGTTTTATGTGATAATACTTTCTCTTTAATTCTATAAACAGACACAATTTCTTGTTCAGTTACAAAGTCCCGTTAATTGTTGTGCCGAGAATACCGACTAATTGTCAATCGAAATTCTTTCGTTTTCACTAACCTCTCTGTCAAATTCTTCATGTCTTTATCCATTTTTTGCAGCAATTTCACTTTTTGTTTGATGGACATCGAAACATACTTTCGTTTTGTACGATCCTTTGGGAGCTCCAGAATCGGGAAATTCTATTTGACATAATCGAAAGTTCAAGTTTACTTTTATAAAATTGCTCTTACAGTCTGCAAAAAAATAATAAGCCAGATCCAATTCGAAGATTAAGGAACAACGCAATCATCAACAGTGACTGAAATAGATAATTAGATAATTTTAGATTATACCGTCCGTTATACATAAAACGCGCACACGTAAACGCCTATGCGCATGTGTCTACGTGGCGCATGCGCAGAAAGTTTTTAGCTTTGAGGTCCGGATTATAGATCATTCCGGATTATGGGTGTCCGAATTAACGACTTTTGACTGTATCAGTTTGTAAGAATATAAATATAGCTGTTGAATATTTTCCTCATTCTCCTCTAAATCCCATGGTCTTCCTCCGAGTACATAATTTTATTAGTGTTTTATAGGCAAATATATATGTACTATTTATATTGCAAGGCAGTGCTCATTTATCAAGTTAAAACTTATTGCAAATTCTGCTCATCTTGCAAAATACTTGCAAACCATGTTACTTACAATCCAAGCCTTTGCTGTATTTGTAATTGACTGATACTTGCATAGATGTCTATTGAGTGTAAGGAAACACAATCCTGACTTTTATTTTAGCAGAAGCATTTTCAGCAATACAAACTATTACATTATCATATTTTCAAATTTTCACAAAACAATCGAAACTAGTCCTGTGAAAATTTGAAAATATAACGCTGATTTTTGTTGTTTGAATTCTAAATTAACCAAGCTGTAATGTTAATTTTTTTATACCAAATGCTTGTACTATTCCCACTTGAGCAAAATGAAAATCACAATATGAAGATTTTGACAGATGGCACTTCAGTATTCAAAATCATGTTGCTACAAATAGTAACAAAAAAAGGGGGGAGAGAGAAAAAGTTTGTATTAAGAAATTAAAAATGAACATAAGAAAAATTTAGTAATAATAACTTTTAGTTAGTTTTGGTTGAAATCAGTCAAGGATACAAAATTAAAAAGATTGAATTTAACCAATTGAAAGCCAAAAATACACATGTCACTGGATCAACAGGTTTCCTGAACAGACAATGAAAATAATGGATCCCCCCCCCCCCCCGAAAAAAAAAAAAAAAAAAAAAAAAAGCTCAACAAAAATCTCACAGATCCAGCTTTAATTCTGTTGTAGAATTTTCTTCATATAATAACTGTATCATATATTCAGATATGATATAAAAATAATTGTGTAACGCGGAAGAAAAATAACCTAATGGAAGTTCATTGAACTTTGTTTTTTGTTTTACATGAAAGATCTCTTTTTCATATTTTAAAATATTATTTACTTATGAGTATTTTGGAAAACTGGGCATAATATTGTTTGTTTGTTTATTTTTGCTAGTGTATTTTTTCTCTATATCTGCAATTAATTTTCAATTTTGTTAACATAAAAGTATTAGTAAACTGTTTCAACATTAAAAAAAAAAAAAAAAAAAGAAAAGGAAAAAAAATTCTGCTGGCATCTGTATTCTGTAGGTCATGGATCTATTTCTGTATTTTAAATCTATAAACAGAAGCCTTGCTTTATAATATTAATGTTTAATTATTTTACAATTTTCAATTTGGAATATTTTGTTGGGAAGTCTTGTATTATTGAAAAGAATGGAATTACTAGCTGTTGGCTTAATTTTATCATTATTAAAAAAATTTAATAGTAACTTAATTTTTAAAATGTAACGTTTTATGGAATTATTATGTAGAAATTCATAGATAGATATTGTTCCTTTTAGGAAGCCGCTGTGTGAAAAATTTCAGTTACAGTACTCTTTGTTTTCATATTTTTTTAGATGCCTTGATCAAAATATCTGCCACAGAGGGATGGACTTCTTTGTGGAGCAGTATGGTTCCATCATTAATATTAGTGACAAATCCTGCAATTCAGTTTACTGTATATGAATCTTTAAAGACAGAATTTCCAAAACTCATAGGTCAACAGGTGATTTAAAGTTCTATATCCTTTGTTCACTGTTTATTTCTGATGGCATCATTTTGTAGAAATAATTATTTTTATTTTTCAAACTGATGTTCTAAATAACAAAGAATTTTTTGATGTAATAATCTGTTTTAATGTATCTGTTCAATCTAATACAATTATTAATTTTCATCTTGCATTTTTTGTGGAATATAGGTAATAAGAAATAAAGTTATCAAATATTGAAAAAAAAAAAAAAAAAAAAAAAAAAAAAAACCTGAAAAGTAGGAGTCAACTGTTTAGATCAAAGCAGAATTTAAAATTAGTGTGAATTCTAAACAACTAGGTCAAAATCTTTTTTCTCAAATGTGGAAGGATTTTGTAATGCAGCTAATGCGTGAGAATCCCTACTGCATAAATTGAGAATAAATAAAATCTTTCAAAATAAAACCAAAACGTGTCAGAAACTGCTACTAGTATGTAATAGCAATTAAATTTAGTATTTCTTTTATTTGAGTAAAGTAACTGATACTGAAGTCAGGATGGGAAATTTTAAAGATACCCATTTTATTGCAAATATATTTTCTCTAGATTGAAGAAAAGAGAAACATATTATTTTAGTAAGCTTTTAAAAAGAAGCGAAAAGACCGTGTAAACAATTAGTAGCTGGTTTAAAAAAAAATTTAACTTCTATTCATTTTCCATAGCAGAACTTAAAGATCCCATACAGAGACCCAACTGTAGCACAGCAGATAAAGCTGCTAAATACTATATCATTCCAAGCTGAATCTGAGTAGATTTGATTGCTGAACAGTTTTGCTTTTCCTGCTGTGTGATATGAATCAAGAGACCTTTGTATGCAAATCATTTATGGAGACAGCAAGCATTGCATATTTCACCCTAATAAAATACTTGCATATTACACAGATAATTTACTTGAAAAAGGTGAATGATAATAGTACTTTTAACTTATCCACATTTCTAAATAAAATAATTTGACATACAGTTCACAACAAACTGTTAAATTTAATATGTGTGTCAGTTGCTTCTTTGAATTGGAAAAGAAAATCTGCAATTAAATTTTACAGTTAAAAATAAATTTGTATTGTAATGTTTGTTAGATCTTAAAACCTTTTTTTAGGATTGGATTATTCAATTAAAGGCAAAACACACAAGGGCTATCTGCCTAAAGGGAGGGATGCCTTCGTGGAGGACCTTTCTAAGGGAAACTGGCTCGTGTACACATTACACATGGGGAAAACCATGAAAACGCCCATGCAGCCAGCCTGTTCATGGGATTCGAACCTCCGACTGAACAAACACAGGGTTCGTACGGTCCTTAAAAGTCCTTAATTTTTTCAAAAATGATTTTTGGTCCTTAAAAGTCCTTAATTTTGGCCAAAATGAATAAACGGTCCTTAATTTTGCTCATTTGACATTTCTTATCATTTCTAATGATTGCCATTCTAAGTGTGAATTACGATTTCTCATGAATATGGAATTAAAATTACACGACTCTTAACCAATCTGTTGGCGGATTTGCGTTGCAAACGATAAAAAAAAAAAAAAAAAAAAAAAAAAAAAAAAAATTAGCTACCCGAACGAAAGTATCGGTGTCTGATTGGCTATTCACCCAATCTTTCGAAACAGGTGTTATCCATAAATTTAGGCAGATTGTGACGAAAGCGTGAAGCCGGAAGTTCTTTAAGAGGCGAAAGTGATGATGAAGTGCTGCTCGAGAAAAAAAAAAAAAGGGGGGGGATTCTGAAAATATTTGCCAAAATTAGAGCAATCCCAACCTGGAAGGCCACAACCCTTCCGACGCCAATAGGAACGAGATGCCTGGAAAGTGCATTTTCAATAAACTGTGGCTTCATCAAGCTGACTACAAAGACTGGATATTGATGGATGGCAATCCTTAAATGTGGTCTTTGTCTGAAACAAATTGAAATTTCTAGAATGGGAGAGTCAGCGCTGAAAATTCACATGAAAATTAAGTTTCGTTTTATCATTTCAATTTGTTTTTACACGGTTTTGCTTAGCTTAATTTCTGTGTTTGTTTCAATTAAGCCATAAATTAATTTTTTATCACCTTCTACGGAGTTTATTCTCTTTTGCACATACTATATGTATGGGATATCGGGATTATGAGTTTATTTCTGCAGAGGGTCTGTTATCGATTTCGCGGGAAATCTGTTGGCTCCATTTCGATTTTAGGTCGCCAAGGGCAAATTCGGTAATGCTAGCCGAGAAAAAGTGAAGTTTTGAAGCTTCAATAGACAATTAAGTATTTGGTTTAAACCTATGTTGTTGATAGTAATGCATAATTTTTGCTAATGGCGATACAATTATTAGTTGAAAATAACTAACTAATTAAAAATTTTTTAATATTTTTAAAGCTGAAAACAACTAATTGAAACTAATTTTCCTGAATTAACTAGACGCAAAATTAACTTTCATGAATTACTAAAGTTATTGGGTAGAAGTTTAACTGAAAATATACATTCCGTATTATATATATATATTTATACAGTACAAAGTCCGAGGTCTGGACTCGTCGGGACTTCGGCGATCCCAGATTTGAGATTTTTCCGGATATTAGATCATTTTAAATCTACTAAGATGGCACGTAGAAATTATAAAATTGAAAATATGAAATCGTGATTTATGAAATAATGAAGCATTTATGATTTAAAGGGTATCAAAATTTACAAAGAAAAGAGCTTAATATTTATATGTTTACTTTATTAAACATTTCTTTCAATGTGAGTTGTTTGATTTGTTTTCTCTGCTAATACTTTAGACTAATACTATAGACATATAATTTCTTGTTCAGTTATTAAGTTCCATTGTTCAAGTCCTGTAATTGCTGTGTCGAGAATTCCGAATAACTTGTCAATCAAAATTTTTTCTCGTTCAGTAACCTCTCTGTTACTTTCTTCACTATCGGTAGCTGTATTTTCTGGATTTAGAACCATACTACAGATTTCGCCCTCCGTTAATTGATTGATGATTGGGCATTGTCATCGCAATGAAAAACTTCTGTTTAACTTCGCTAAATTCTGCCGCCTGGTGCGGCCATGCGAGCTCTGGCGCTGGTTCTGGCTTTATGTGAATAACAAATCAGTTATTCTTAATTCAAATAGCACTAAATATAATCGTTTGTCCTATGAGTATCATTAACAAAATCTATTTTTAGCATAAGGAAAGAAATTTCTGCTAAATCTCCCCTTGTCAACATTTTAGCGCATTAAACTTAAATCTGTAATCGGATAATACTCTGTTATTTGGCGTCGCTGCATGATTCATCACTCAAGTTGTCATCCGTTGATAAACATGCGGTGATGAAAGCAAAATACAATAAATAATGATTCGCGATTTCGGCATCAAGGATATAAAATATTAGTTGGTGTAAAATTAACAAATGTTTCGGTTTGAGATTATGCCAAGCAGATACGCAGCTATGGAGTCAAGTTACTAATCACACAAATTTATGCTAAAATAATTATTTCTTCAATAATGAGATATTTTATTTAGCGCCAAACTGAGATTAAGAATCGGGATTTCCGGCATGTTTTTTTATGATGAGGAAAAAAATCTAATGCGCGTGCGTAAAGCATACCCCTTCCCTTCAAAAAAGCCCTAAAAAATTGGTTGGTGGTGGCTTTGAGGTCCGGATTTTAGATCATTCCAGATATTGGATGTCCGGATCTCGGACTTTGTACTGTATATATATGTATATATATATACATCTTTCAAAATATAACTTACCAGTATGGATTCACTCTTTTAAAATAATTCTACTTTAATTAAACTTAGGAGATAATATAATCAATTAATCAATATTGTTTAGGAAATAAATTATATATATATATATAGTAAAAAATGTATATTTTCACTATTCAAGTATTCACTGTGACAAGTATTCTTATCTTGTCACATGAACAGGCCTCTGTGGAAAGGGGCTTCTCTGTAAATAAAGCAATTGAAATTGAAAATTTAAGTGACTCATCATACATTTTTCAACGCACAGTATTTGATTACATAAAATTTTCTGGAGGTGTTCTTAATATCGAAATTAATAAAGAAATGAGATCAGCAGCAGCTTCTGCAAGAAGTGGAGTTCGTTATTTAGAAGTTCAGTATTTAGAAGAACAAAATCTTTAACTAAATCTGAAAATTCAAAGAGGAAAAGAAATATTATTGAGGAAGAAATTGATTATATGAAGCAGAAGAAAAAATTTCTTCAAAGGGACATTAAAGATATTATGAAGAAGAAGTAGATGCTTTAGCAGATGAAGCTGAGACCAGCAGGAACATTGATTTGTTTATCAAAGCAAATGAACTTAGAAGAATAGTTAAAGAAAAGGAAATAGACATAAATAAATTAGATGTTAAAATAGCTGAAAAGATTTCAGATTTAAAAAAAGCACAAATGTTTTGTATCTTTTATTGTACAGTTTATTATTCTAGTATCTTTCAAAAAACCAAGGAAATAAATTGTATGTTTACAAATCAGTTATTTTAATCTGCAAAATATTCTTACATTGTGATTATAATAGTAGTTGACTGTGTTTAAATAAATATCAAATAAGTTAAATAATAATCATGTAAATCTCTAAAATAGTGACTGTTATTAGTGTAAAATACACTTATACATGTTTTTCAAGAAATTATGTTCCTAATTTAATGTTATCTACTTCATAACTTGTAGGGAGTTAGTTTAATTTTCAAAATAGTTTTATGGTAAGTATCAAAGTGAATTTAATAATAGTGCATAATACACACTTCTGTTAGTTTCTTAAAGTGAAATTACAAGCATGAAGTCGGTTGTATGGATAATTGCTTTATTCTATTCATTTTTTTGTTTGCTGATAGGTCCTTAATTTTTTCTTTGATGGTCCTTAAAAGTCCTTAATTTTCATGTAAGGAAATGTGTACGGACCATGTAACAGTTTTCAGCGTGTTTAACCGCTTGGCCGCTGGTGGGCTCTTTTTTTTAGGAGTGGAGGATGTGAATCACCTTTGCTAATAAAAGATCGTGATTATAATATTTAAAAAATTTTAATTTAACAAATATTCTCTATTTGTATAAAGCTAATATTAAATTAAATTTTAATTAAGAAATTTTAATTGTCAAAGAAAATAAATGAAGTAAAAAAATTATATATTGCTGCAAACTAATTTACAAAATCATATAAATTCAAAGAGCATATGTAAATTAAAAAACTGGGAATCTAAAGGGTATTGCTAATTTAATTCATTAAAATTTGAAAATTTAAAATTAACTATTATTAAAAAAGATACTGCAAGTTAAAATTTTAAACAAAGTTTAAAAAATTTAGTACTAAGCATAAAAATATTTAAAAGGAAACCGAATTATTTGAACTAATATGTGATTGAGTAATATGTTTATTTTATATATGAAAATGAGTTCTGGTAATTATTTTAACTATAAGTGTACCAATTTTGTATTATGTTTATAATTTTTACAAGGTGTGGCTATTAATTTCCAGGACTGCTCTCATAACACCAGAACAGATGTGGTGTGAAAAAGCAACCTTTTAATATGTTTCGAAGTAATCCCCCATCTGCCGTAATGCATTTCTGTGCTTGGCTGCATTAGTTGTGGAAAAAACTTTTAAAGTCTTCTTTGGGAAGGCTCTTCAGTGTTGACGATATGTTCTTCTTGATGTCTTCAATATCCACAAAGCGTGTTCCTTTGATCACAGTTTTTGAGTTTGAGTAACAAAAAGAAGTCTGCGGGGGCTAAGTCAGGAGAGTATGGAGGAGTGATGCAGCTCCAGGACCTCATGTTTGGCCAAAAATCTCTTCATTGGCAATGCAATGTGGGGGCAGGCGTTGCCACCTCTTTGTTGATGTTCAGTTCACTGGCTAGCATTCGAATAGTCAGTTGCCGATCCGCTGTTACAAGCTTTCTCAATCGTTTCAGGCATACATATACAAATTGGCCTTCTGGTGTGGGCGTCATCTTCAACACTTTCACGGCCATCCTGGAAACGTCCATACCATTCAAATGTGCGGGAACGGGATAATCATTGCTCACCATACACGTGTTTCAACACTGCATGTGTTTCTGTTGCACTTTTGCCCAGTTTAAAACAAAATTTGATGTTTACCCTTTGTTCCATTTCAGTACTTCCACAACACCACTTTCCCACTTCGACAACAACACTTCACCAGATACGTTTCCATGCATCTTTCTCAGCCAAGCTCGTGTCTACAACTGACTGGAGCATGTGCAGATGTACTACTTTCCAGATACCAGCAACGCCTCTCTCGGGCGAGTGATCAGTTTCATGCTATAATGTCAGTCTTGGGTTTTAATAGCTACACCTTGTATATTCTGTGAATTTTATTATTCTGTGTGTTTACAAATAAATAGGTCGCATTATTGAAGAATATATTTTTTTATTTTAAAAATTATTAAATGATTTTTTCCCATGTGAAGTAAATAATATAATGAAGTGTATACTTAAGCATTTTTTAATTTACACTATTTGAATTTTTCTGCTAATCAATGTTTGTTTACCTCTCTTTGCATATAGGAGCTAAATGCTCTTTCCTTCTTCTTTCTTGGAGCATTAGCCAAAGCTGTTTCTACCGTTATAACATATCCATTACAAGTGATCCAGATGAAATTAAGAGTATGTCTAATAAATTAAAAAGTTTGGCTTAATTTTATGTTTAATATTTCTTATGTGTATTAAATCTGCAAAAAATATGAAGATTGTTTTCTCTGTTGTTTGTTTTAAACTGAAATTGATTTATCTTTACAGTATGAGGTGATATCTCTGTTAGCTTTATATTCATCCTAACTGAATATTTTAAAATCCCTATTTTATAAAAAATAATTATGGGAATAAAAATGTGTGAAAAGCACTATTTTGAATGAGGTCTTAAATTAGAAATAGTAGAATAGGATATAGATTAGTGAACAGTGGATATATTTTTTTGCTCTGTGTAGGAAATTTAATGTGAGTTTGTAATGATACTTAATGTATTACATCCATTTTCCTATATACAGCAGAAATGTTTACTAGAATTGGAAGAGGGAAATATTTTTCTCTTTCCCCTTTCTTTGAGAGGTATTGCTTTATAATTTAGTTTAAAAAAATTGTGCCAATAATTAAATAAAGGTTATTTTTTATGAGTGTTTATGTATTTAATAAGTTACACATTGAAACTAAGAGCTGAGCAAAAGTTCTTGTGGCATGACTCCCCATTAATCAGCAGTCTTAAAGGAATGCCATTTTTAACAATTTAAACAGGAAATTTAAATATATGTTATAAAAAAATACAAAATGAGCGTGCATTCTGGCAATGTTTGTATGTATGATATGCACATTTTAGACTTGTAACTCTGTACTTAAGTTTCATATAACACTTTCAGTTATTCTTTGACCATGCAAGATCATGTAGGTTCTTTTTTAATGTACAGTTAGAATGTACATCAACAAACTGCATTTATATGCATACACTTTAGTTCATATGCCATTGCTATTGCCTGCCCTGTAAAATGCAACAGTTTCACGCGAAAATGTGAGTTGTCTTCATTCTTACTGAAGCTCGAGTTGCTAGAAAAAATGGAATGATGTATCAGAACAGAAAAATTAATGTAGGACTATAAAATTGAAAGTAGAAAGCAGTATGATGTAAAGGATCAAGGTGGCCAACACCGGAATTTCATGGTGCCAACAGAGTTTACAAAAGCTGAAGAGGAAGAGAAAAAGACCTTGGAAGAGAAAAATGTCTTGGTATGAAAAATTTTGGCAAGTGTAAATTTTAGTTTCTGTTGGGTGGCTTTACCATTTCAAAGAAAGGTACAGAATCAGTTGGTTAGATGTATAAAGTAAATAGAGATGTTCTGATGTAGTTTCTGTAAATGAGTTTATCAAGCAATTTCAGTAAACCGAGGGCGAGAAGAACATAATTATGGAACAAATATATAAAGTCAATTGGAATGTGGTATAGAGCTATTCTCATCTTGATTTTGGTCTTTTGGATGGAGGGTTTGCCAGAGGTTTTAAGCAGAACTGTAACTAAAGATTATAATTCTAGTACAGACATAAGTGCTATAAGTGTGCATAAAATAAGATTATCAGTGATAGACAAATACCACGGTTCCATAGTGCTTACTATAAAATTTTGCCCCCTCTGTTATCAGATACAACAGAATGCATGGAGGGATTATGAAATATTTAAAAATATTTTACACAGTTCTGATAGATTTGTGTTGTTTTCCTGTTGCCATCTGGTGGGCATCGGTTTGTGTGATATCCATTGTCCATGCTTGTAATTCTTTGAATTTCTTCAGAATGTTATTGATCTTCCTATATGAGACTCTGTGAATTATCAGTCCGCTGTAACCAAAGTATTGGTTATGATTTGTACAAAAATTTATTACAGGCTGCTGAAAAGTAATAGAACCGTTCCTTCATTATGGTGTTAGAAGCTTTTTCTCTCACCCATAGATTTTTCTGAAATTTTTTAAAGCTAACTTTAATGAGGGCCTTAATTTGAACTGATAAAATATAAGCAGCTTCACTTGTTCTAATTCATATATATTTTATGGTAAATTTTTGGACAAATTTATGTTTTATTTGGCTAAACCCAACACTTACTCTGAAGGCTTAACCACAAGCATAAAAATTCCTTAGAAGCTGTAGGTAAGGCAAGTGTAGATTTTTAGAAGTGTCTAAATTTTTGTTGAGCAATCTGATGAAAATCTGAATGATAAATGAGTGTATAATGATGATGACTTAATCTAACCTAGAGCATCAAACTAAGCTGGAAGCAGTATATCTTAGTTCAGAAATGCAGGTGATCTTAGTTAATAAGAACCTATAGAGCAAAACCACATCATGTGGCATGTTTTTTCCCTTCTTTTGAATAACCCATAAAAATTTTTCCCTGCAGCTGAAGGCTAGAAATAAATATTTATACCATTACTGTACTAGGTAGGTTTAGTTATACAGAATGTCCTTTGAAAGGCTTCCTGATTTTAAAATTAAATAACTTGCAAACAGATCAATTGAAGAATGAGACAAGTAGTGTTTTTTTTTTTTTTTTTTTTTTTTTTTTTTTTTTTTTTTTTTTAAAGAGCTGTAAAATACTGATACAGAAGTTTCAACATTAGTTACAAATGTTGCCAACAGGTGGTGCTGTAGTTAGTCGCAGTGCATGGAGTCTGAGGAATAGTCTATAAACTGCCCTTTGCTGTCATATGGAAATTGATACAAAATTCCCATGCAATTACCTTTTTAAGTTTAGAGATGGTACAAACAAAGATTGAAAATTATCAGTCTTCCTATGTAGTGTGCGTATGTATGGAAATGGATGCACGTTTCACAGATCAGCTCTTGAAGCACATCCAGTGTTGTTAGATTTTTCCTGAACACAGTCTCTATCCACATGCCTCACAATAAGTAGTTTCCGGGTGTAAGATTGAGTTAGTGTGAAGACCAGTTCATGCCTGTTCCAGTAAATGTGAAATAGTCCTGTATATTCAAAATGTCCCTCAAGAAAGGAAAAACTGCTAAAATACAGTGGGATCAAACTCCTTTTTGGATAAACTGGAGTGTCTGTTCGATCCTCCAATGCTTGTAGTGTGGCAACAAATTGTTCCAAAACTACAATGTGCTTCTCAGTAATCATATGTCATAAAAAGGGGAGGTTCAGGGATGCCTTTGCAAGATATTGTAACACAAATGGTAACTTTTGATGAATGTACTGTTTGTGCTTGACATAAGTGTGGATTTTCATCAATGCACAAAAATTAGCAATTTTATCTTTCCATGAAAATATCCAGATCAAAATTAATCTCTTCTATGAATCATATGTTGTAAACACTGAATTCAACATCATCGGTCATTGTGAGCATATCATTTGTGAACTCTTCTCTTTTCGCACAGCTCAAATTGATGGCTTGGTAGCATTGGATCTTGAGCAGAAATACATAGGTTGTTCCTCAATATTCTGTGTGAGCTGAATGGCTTAAATCTGGACTCTGTCACAACCTTTTGGATCAGTTTTCGTATATTATGCTCAGCAACTGCAGAAATTATTCTGACATTTTTCTCAAGTAATTGCAGAATGACTCTGACCAACATTTTTTACATCAACTGCATTGCCTGTCCACTGAAATTTATCAAAAAGCTGGTGAATGTCTTTTGCATCAGAACCTTTTGCTATTTTAAAGTGGTTTTGAAAAATGCACCTTGTTGTAGGTATGCGATTTAAATGGTAATACTCAGTACCAGAGAAACATGGTTCTCCACAGAGGATACACGACTTCATCCACATCTTTCAGTATGCTAACCTCCTTTCACTTTTCAACAGAATAACTTTCTGAAGACTGATTGCTATGTTCTTCAGAGCTATGTTCTGATTGCTATTTCTTTTTAGGAATTCGGCTATAACTGCACTGTACAGTGTCAACTCTTAGTAGCTTAACTACCATATATTTCTGAATATAAGACGGCTCATGTAAGTCAAGAGTGCATGAGTGCGTTTTTTCTTCAAAATTCATAAATCATCTAAAGGGCAAAAAATTCCTGTCATGTTCATACATGTCACTATAAAGGCAAAAATGTTGTGGAGCAGGTAGAAATATTTTTCAATCAAATCGATGCAAAATAAAATGCGAGACACCAATGATGATAGTTTTAATTATGGTAACCGTACCTGAAGGTAGAACATTTTTTCCATGCATTTGTAGTCTTCTGTGCAATTTGTGGCATTTGTGCTAGTCTTATTTTCTATGTCATTTTATTTTGTGTCTGATTTAATTTTTGTTTAAATTTTACAAACTATTTGGAACTTCAGATTCTGCCACAGATGTCAAAGGAATTTATATGAGTTCCCCCCTTTTTGCATAAAGGTCACATTAAAACTTGCATTTAAGTAAACAATAAAAGATTTAGGTAATTTTTCTTTTGCATTGTAATTTTTATGTGCTGATTAGTTATGATGTTCTATTTTTATTTATTGTGTATTTTTGTAATTTTCTATCAGGCAGATGAAAATTTCACCAACATCAGATTTTTCATTTTGGCAGTGATGCAACAAGCAAGCAGTATAAAAAAAATTAGGTATTTACAAAATTCCATAGACTGTTAAAGTTGGCTACCATCGAAACAGGAAAATCTGAGATACTCTCAAACTTATGCTTATTGATCCTGCAAAATTCTGAAGAACCTGATGCCTCTTTATTTAATAAACAATTAGTATTTGAACTGATTCCTTTTTGCGCTTCATAAAAATATTATCTCTGATTTTTACTATTTTGTTAGACTTTCCGATTTCACCAAAAGCTTTGTATAGAATTCTGTGAGTACAAAATTAACCACAGGTAACTATTCCAAATTATTAGTGTTTTATTGAGCATATGCAGCTGATCATATTGTGTCCATTAATATACACTTCTTTGACAGGTGGATCCTATAACTTTGAAAATAATTCACTACTCGCTGCTCTGTAAAAGGAATATCCCAAATTTTATTCATTTCCTTTTTCTAAATGCAAGAAAAAGTACAACAATAACACTTAATGTATATCCTTGTTCATAAAAATAAAAGGTAGCTTATTGGGATATGAGGTAGTTATAATATGCAAATGCACAATTTCAAAAATAAAACACCTCATTTCATTTAAAATAATTTTCATAACCTAAAGAAATAAAAAAGTGCTGTGTTTGGCAATTTATCACTTTCACCCAGCTAACAGAGAAGCACTTACATATTTTGCAAGATTAGCATATCTGTATATAAGCTGACCCTTGTAATTTAACTTTAAGAACAGTTCCAAAAATCTCGCCTTGTACACAGAAATATACAGTCAAAAGTCTTTAAACAGGACTTCGGCGATTCCGGATTATCGCTTTTTACGGATTATAGATAATCAATTTAAATCTGGTAAGATGGCATGCAGAAATTATAAAATTAAAAATATGAAACCGTAATTTATGAAATAAAGAGCAATTTTGATCTAAAGGGTATCAAAATTTACAAAAAAAAAAAAGCTTAATATTTATTTGTTTACTTTATTAAACATTTCTTTCAATGCGCGCATGCGTAAAGCATACATTACGCATAGTCAAAAATCCAACCAGAAAACTATTTGATGTGTATTTGTGATATTTATAATGATGAGGAATTTGATTTAAATCATATCAAAGACAGAGTACTTTGAGATGAAATACTACATTTAATAAGGAATTATAAGCCGAATAAAATAAAGACATCTGCCCTGAAGATAAGGATAGTGCTGTCAGATCAACTTCCAGTTCATTGCGCGCCACGACGTCCCACCCCCTGCAGAGCAGCGTGAAATTGATAAAGAGATTTCGGAATGGTTAGAGAAACAAAGGATATGCTTTTATCCATTTTTTGCAGCAATTCCACTTTTTGTTTGATGGACATCGAAAAATGCTTTCGCTTTGTAGATCCTTTGGCAGCTCCAGAATTGGAAATTCTTTTTGACATAATCGAAAGTTCAAGCTTACTTTTATAAAATTGCTCTAACAGTCTGCAAAAACTAATAAGCCAGATCCAATTAGAAGATTAAGGAACAATGCAATCTGCAACATTAATTGAAATAGATAATTTTAGCTTAGCTTATACCGTCCATTATACATTAAACGCGAATGCGCAAACGTATATGCGTTTACGCATGCGCTGAAGGTTTGTAGCTTTGAGGTCTGGATTATAGATCATTCTGGATTAAAGACTTTTGACTGTACAATAAATTTGAAATTTCTTATCTGATTTTTACAAATTTCAAACTAAACATACTACTAGTTTTATTTGTCTATCAATCTCTGATTTTGAGTTATTTAATTTTAAAATAATGGAATCCTTATTAGAACACTCAGCATATATCACTGCATTGTAACATTAAGGAAAATATGTATTGGAATGTATGTATGTATCCATGTTATTTAAAACAATGCTAAATCTTTTGATTTCTCTGACCAAGTTTGTGAGTAATTTTGTTTCGCATGACCATTTGATGAACATTTATTCACATAGTGATGAATGAGAGCTTAGTTCACTGAAATATAAGGCACTGTGAAAACAACAAAGCAGAATGTTTTACTGTTGTAATATTACTGTAAGGCATTTTTTATTTTCATAATACAATATTTAAATAAAGCATTTTAAATCATTCTTTGAATGAAACATTTAGCATTTATCTCGCATCTTAAATCATCTGTTTGATGGCTATGTTTATATATTTGTGTTTTGTATTAGTTTTTCTATAAGTTTAGCTAAGCATTTATTTTGGTTAATAGAAAAACTAAGTGACTAAGATATATTTTCCTTAACTTGAATAAGCTGATAAGTTCTTGATTAATTTACTGCCTATTTAAGTTATTGGTAATATTATTATGACTTACACTTGATTGGCTTATAATATGTGTTAAACTTATGATGTTATTTTTCCTCCCCTGTACGAAGAAGAGGAAGTATCGTAATAGCAAAAAATTGTGGGTATCATATTTCAATTGAAGTATCCATTTTAACCAATCCCGAATCCAATATGAGGATATTTTGCGTGACTTTTGTATGTACAGACTGAATGAAGGACTCCTTTTTCAAAAACAGATTGTAAAATGTATTTAAATTTAAAAGCAATTTTGTCTTAACATCTCTCTGTATGTATGTATTCATCTCACATAAATCAAAGATGATCAGGTGTAGAACATTGAAATTTTGTGTATGAGGCTGCTCCAACATCTAGTTGCGCACCTGCTTCTTTTATTGCAATTGGTTGTGCCAAATGTATTCGAACATACCAAACACCTACAATTAAGAAAACTCATGAAACTGGGCAGTAAACACAGACCTGTCAATAGAATCAACAAATTTTTCTTCTTTAACAATAATGAAAATGACCTCAATGAATTTACTATTAAAACAGCATATAAAATAAATCTACCAAGTAACACCTTAGAATGAAAAGAAAAGTTTTTAACAAAATAAAACAGAATTACAAAGTTGAAATTACCTGGCAATTTAAATAAGAATATCATTAAGCAACAAATAAAAGAACTGAAACAGAAATTTACTGTCACTAAAATAGATAAAGGCAAGTAACAACTTTAGTATCATTTGAAAAAATTTTACAGCCCACTAATAGAAACAGAACTTAATCAGCCAATCATTATACAAATAACTACAGAAAAAGAAATTTCTATTATAAACGAGATCAAAGCTTTTCACTGCAAGCTTAAAATTTCTTTTCCACTTGATTGCAACAAATTTTTCAACCTCTCTGCTTTTCCCCAAGTTCCATAAAACACCATTTATTTAGGCTGATACCTAACAGGACCAAAAATTATGACAAAAACATTGACTACTTATTTGCAGTGCGGCTTAAAAAGATTTTTTCCCCCCCAATTCAGCGAAAAGTGATTGCAATTTATGTTTGGAGCATTAATAGTAACTTTTCTGTTATTTCTTCAATTAAAGAAATCAACAGTAATAATTTTGAAAATCTATATACCATTCTTCCATTGAAAGAAATTTGCAGTAGTCTTCTACTAGTTCCAAATTTACTTTAAAGATGAAATAATTTTACTTACATAAGTACTTGTAGAAAATAAAATTCCTTCACAGTTTATTAAATTTTTTTTCTTAAAAATGGTGGCATTTTAAACATCATATTTAATTTTTAAACTAATAAGTTATGATGAGCTCATCTGAAATTGAATGGATGTTTTGTTAGAATTAAAGATTTGTGTATTTTGTATTTAAACTATAATTTTTTCTTCTATTCTTTTAGTAACAAGGTGTATTTCTTTTCAAAGTCATAAAGCAGCCATTTAAATAGAGACTTTTTCTGTCAATATCCCAATTTTTCCCCTTGACTTTTAGCCAGAAATATTATAAACTTATTAGTTTTTACTCTTAGCTTTTTATCATTTTAATACCCAGAATTTTGCCAAAGAGAATAAAGAATTTTTGCAATTGCAATCCAAGTCAATTCAAATTTTCTTGTTCCACAGCTAATCAGAAAGCTTCTTTATTTATTTTGCTCACTGAATTGGTAAGCAAAATAAAGCTCATAGCAAAACAGTTATTTGAACTCCCTCACATCTAATGTGGCAAACATAAGTGTGCTTAGTATGCTACTGTGCACCTACCTCCATATTGAACAGGACAATACCTGTTAAATTTTTTAGCGGGAGTTTTAACTGTAACTAATAATTAGAATTAATTTTGGCTGATGAAAAAATCTAAATGTTGATAAGACCATTTAATTTTTTTTAAAGTATATTACAATTTGATCTATTAGGTAATTTATACTTTGTAACTGTTGATTCTTATTCGAAGTTTTACATATTGTTCTGTAGTTTACCCCTTTTTTGTCTCTACGTATGTTGTCTTATTCTGTGTCAGGGGATTTCCTTTGCATTTATTGAAAATCAAAGATTTAAATTCTAAAACTATATTCCTTTATTTTACATTTTGGCACAGAAGTATTGTTCAAAATAGTGAGAGCAGAAACTCAATCTGTTAAATTGTTGGTGGTTTTATGGAAAGAGAATAAATTCTCCTTGAAAAGTCAGGATCTTTCTATGAAATCAGTAACAATTTTCGTGTAAATTGTTTTTAATACTTTTATATTTAAAAATTGTTACAAGTTTTGCTTTCTACAATATGCAGTACCTTTAATAATTACCTTTTCAAAATCTCCTTTTTCAATAGTTTTTCAATTAAAAATTAATAATTTCTTTTCATTTCCTAGGATGTAGTCAAATTGAATTTAATTATTATGTATATATAGACAAAAAGGTGAAAAATTTAATTCACAAAGACATGCAGAAATAAAATCAGCAGCATAGACACGAGAATAATATTGTGATATTTTTGTTTTTAAAAACTTTTTTTAATACTGTATATATACACACACTCCTTTACCCAGTCTTTATTTTCAGAACCGTTGGTTGTAATTATATACTTCCCATTACAGAAGTGTTTTAAATGATGAAAATATTCATGTTTTGACAACATCAAATTTTTTTAAGAAAACTTTATTTTCGAAAGTAATGAAATCTAACTACATGCACAATAAGGATTGATATCTACATATAGTTTATATATGTAGTTAGTTTAATAATAAATATTTAATATCAGTTCTTTGTTGCAGCAAAAAAATGTGTATAATTTAATAAGCCAGACAAGGAAGTCATGTTGTGTGGACATCAAAATGTTTTCTATACACCAAGTGCTATGAAATTTTCTGTAATTGAAGAGTTATATGCTCTGCTTTTTGTCATATATTTAAAAAATTATAAATCTGAAAATTACTTTTATTTCTTTTAGTACGGGTCTGAAACAATAAAGAAATTAACAATGCTTCAAATATTTTCCTACATTATAAGGTACGTTAGAATATTTTGTATAAGAATAAGTATTTTGTTTTTTTTAATCACTTTCTATCAAGGTGTTTTTAATTTTTATATGTATTGTTTAATTTATTTTTCTTCATTTTATATTTAATTTATTCTTTATATAATTTGTTATAGTTATTCTCTGAATTAAAATCTTGTAGTTTTATGGGAGTTAAGTTAAAAGTTTCTCTTTTGTTGGGTAAAAATCATTTTATATTTCAATGTAATCTCCTTTGAGAGCTGGTACAATGTATCTGCAGTTTCTTCTCCTATTGGAAACCTTTTTGTTTTTCAAAAGCTGTAAAATATAAATGTATAACTATGATGATATCAAATTCAAAAAGACTTCTTCCCACATAAGCTAAATGTTCAGGTTTGAGAGCAGCAAAAAGGCTATTAGAGAATCTACCTAATGCTAGAGGACAAGATAGATGATAAATCAATTCAAAGCATTAAGAAATCCAAAAACATTGCATAATAAAATACTGCATTGCTCCTATTATTGTTCTATTAATCTCCAAGTAGTCAGCTGTGTGATATTCCTTGAAAGCATGCTGCCTCATCTAACACACACTCCAGAATAAAGGAAAGAAAAGGAAATGTTGCCTTCACCATTATAGCTGACAAAAATGGTCTTCGTTTTCTTCAGTGCGCTTTAATCACTCATTGTTCTCTATTTTGATGCGTGTGATGGTTGGTCTCTGTTTCATTCAACTACAAATCAATGCAAATACTTGGCAGTTTAAATTCATAAAAAACTACTTTAAAATTTTATTTCGTATGCCTTTTGATTGACAGCCAATTACTGCAGTACTCATTTCGCTCATAACTTTTTCATCTGTAATTTTTTTTGCAATATATTATGAATTTGTTCATTTGAGAAGCCTACAATTTCAGAAATTTCACTTTTTCATTCTTTCATTATAATATGATACCTTATAATGTTTCAACATTATCAATCTAGGGACTTTATTTGGATATCCAATTTGTGCTTCATATTCACTGCATAATCGCTGCATGATCTAAGTGGCCAAACTTCTGTTAACTTCATCTGTTTCTACACATTTAAATTATAGACTTCTTTATATAAAAGTGTTTTATCACTGCAAGTTGTTTCAATGCCCCCCCTCATGTTGATTTAAATTTTAGTTGCTTTGCTACAGTGTTTCCTTGAAATAATGGAAAAACATAAATAATGCATTGCTGTTATTTGAAATTTGATCTGAGCTTATTTGAACAGTGTTAGGAATTTCAGTTTAGGCAGTCTCATTTAATACAACATTTTTTGGCATTTATAAATTCCAGAGTTTCAATCCTAGTTTAAAAAGATTTTAAAAAGTATATTTTCAGTTTCTTAATAGCAAAGCATAAACTGAACATTTTAAACAACATATAAAAAATCTTCTTGTGACACCTGGATTTTGGTCTAGTTGTGATAACCATGCAGTAATGCAAATGAAATATTCAAAATTTTACTTTTAGTGTAAAGCAAGGTACCACGCAAGATTTAACTATTGGTTCAAATTTATGAGAGAATTACCTAACAGGATTTCACTCTAGTTCAACTAAGCATATTTTTGAGTATCTGAATGTCATCTCTGTTAAAATATTAAAAGAAATTTTTTATTTATAGCATAAATTTGATACATATAAGATATATTCACTTATGATGTTTTAATATGTATTATTGTTTTGCTTAATTATCATGTATGTATTCTGAATTATTATATATTTGTGTATTTTATAGGACAAATGGTGTGAAAGGTCTGTACAAAGGTCTTGAAGCAAAACTTTTGCAAACTGTTCTCACTGCTGCTCTTATGTTTCTATGTTATGAAAAAATTGCAGCTTTTGTGTTTCACATCATGGGTTTGTCACATCCATTACGCAATGCAAGAGCTGCATAAAATTACAGTATTTTCCTTCTAAAGGCATTGAAAGTCATTATGTGATTTTTCAGAGGGATTTCTATTATGGCTTCATTCATAATAATGAGAATCTACTTAGTTCAAGTTCTTTAAATTTTTTTTCCTTATTCCTCTCTTTCAGAAAGGCAATAATTTTGTGGGAATTTCAATATCCGAGTCTGTTTTTGATTTTTTATGAAAAAAATGTATGAAAATTTTATGCAGAAGAGTATATATGACAGTATAATTCAAAATTTTATTATGATATCTATTTCATCATACTTGTCCTATAAATTTGTATAGTAATCATTTAAAGGATGTTCTGGCCAGAAGTTTAAAAATTCTGATTTCAACGTAGGAAATGTAATATTATGGTACCTATATTATGAGAATAACATGACTCTTGTAAATATGCTTATGCATATTAAAAATGAAATAACTGGTATTGCATTATATTTGATATGAAAGTGATTAAATCAATAATTTGAGGGTACTCCCAGTATTGATGGATATTATTTTAATTGCATTTAAGGCATTAAGAACAGAAATCTAGCTAATTAAATTCCACTCCAAAGAAATCATACGTAGTGAGAGAACACAAGTATTCTGCAGAATGCAGTGTAGTAAGCACTTCTGTGGTATATTTAGTGACATGGCATTTGAGTATTTTCCCTGATTATTATATTATAAAAAATCAAATCCTCTAAAATTGAACAAATGAACCTTTTTAGTTTTATGTTGTACTATTGAATAACTTGGTCATGAATCTCAGTTTATTTTTTAAACTGTTAGCTTAATTTTAATTAAGATAGTTCAAAATTGTGATACTGTTTGTCATATTTAAAAATGTTGCATATATTTACACTTTTTGAAACTAAGCAACTGCATTTAAATTACTGTCTGCAGTTTTAATTATTTATTTTCTTTTTTTAACTTATATGAGTATGAAATGTAAGAAAACAAAACTGATGATAGAAAACTTATCTTTAAATGTTGTCCCACCTGCAAATTTAGTAAATTTTAAATGAAGAAATGTGTAAATTAATAAAATGTAACAATTTTTCTATGGCTATTAATGATGCAATTTGGTGTTTTAATACTGTAGCTTTAATATTGTATTTTTGTACATAATAGCTATTTATAATATTTATATGTACATAACTAATCTGTTAAATATATTTTCTGTTGCTTAGAATTATGATACAATTTATGCATTTGTTTATTAGCAAAGGGGGAATATAAAAGTTTCATCTTTTTTTAAATGGGTTCAGAAGATATTATAAATTTTATTAATGTTCACATGCCTTTCATTGGTGACTATAGTGTTATGATATATTTTGTACTGATATGTGTACAATTACTGTAAATTATGACCTGGGAAAAGTATGATTTTTATTCAATATATTTTAAAATCTGTGTATAAATTATGGTTCTAAAAACTTAAGATAAATAATGTACTTTGTGAGATTTGCAAGATTAGTTTGATGATTTGTGCTGTTGTAAATAAAGTGTTAGTGATATACTAACACTTTATTTACAACAGCACAAACCGAGAATTACAATAGCACAAATCAAGAATTACAACAGCTCAAATTGAGAAATACACGAGAATTTTTACAAAAGTGGTATAAAAGCTTCTACTCTGGTATTATTTATAATGAAATTTAATATATCTTTTCTATGGAGTTTAAATTTAACCAAATTAAAATTTAATTTTTAACAAATATGTATAAAAGTAAAAAAGCAAATTTAAATCCTAAAAAAAGAAATTAGATAACGAGTTTAAAATTAAAACAAAACTATTAGAAAAAGAAAGTTGTTTTTAATTAAAAAAGAGAAACAAACCAGGTAATTAGCGCTAAAGCTGCTGAGTACAAACAAAATTGTTTCATAAGAATAAACTGAATTTAATTTAAAAAATTAAATTTAAATACAAATTTAATTAAATATTCTTTGCACCATTGCTGCAAGGAATGAAATTTAAATTTAACCAAATTTAAATTTAATTTTTAACAAACACGTATAAAAGTAAAAAAGCAAATTTAAATCCTAAAAAAAGGATTAGAGAGTGAGTTTAAATAAAAACAAAACTATTAGAAAAAGAAAGTTGTTTTTAATAAAAAAGAGAAAACAAACCAGGTAATTAGCGCTAAAGCTGCTAAGTACAAACAAAATTGTTTCATAAGAATAATTGAATTTAATATTAAAAAAATTAAATTTAAAACAAATTTAATTAAATATTCTTTGCGCCATTGCTGCAGGAATGAAATTTAAATTTTAACCAAATTTAAATTAATTTTTAACAAATACGTATAAAAGTAAATAGCAAATTTAAATCCTAAAAAAAGGAATTAGAGAGCGAGTTTAAAATAAAAACAAAACTATTAGAAAAAGAAAGTTGTTTTTAATAAAAAAAGAGAAACAAACCAGGTAATTAGCGCTAAAGCTGCTAAGTACAAACAAAATTGTTTCATAAGAATAAATTGAATTTAATTAAAAAAATTAAATTTAAATACAAATTTAATTAAATATTCTTTGCGCCATTGCTGCAAGGAATGAAATTTAAATTTAACCAAATTTAAATTTAATTTTTAACAAATACGTATAAAAGTAAATAGCAAATTTAAATCCTAAAAAAAGGAATTAGAGAGCGAGTTTAAATAAAAACAAAAACTATTAGAAAAAGAAAGTTGTTTTTAATAAAAAAGAGAAACAAACCATGTAATTAGCGCTAAAGCTGCTAAGTACAAACAAAATTGTTTCATAAAATAATAAAATTTATTAAAAAATTAAATTTAAATACAAATTTAATTAAATATTCTTTGCACCATTGCTGCAAGGAATGAAATTTAAATTTAGCCAAATTTAAATTTAATTTTTAACAAATACGTATAAAAGTAAAAAAGCAAATTTAAATCCTGAAAAAAGGAATCAAGAGCGAGTTTAAAATAAAACAAAAACTATTAGAAAAGAAAGTTGTTTTTAATAAAAAAGAGAACAAACCAAGTAATTAGCGCTAAATTGCTAGTACAAACAAAATTGTTTCATAAGAATAAATTGAATTTAATTAAAAAAAATTAAATTTAAATACAATTTAATTAAATATTCTTTGCGCCATTGCTGCAAGGAATGAAATTTAAATTTAACCAAATTTAAATTTAATTTTTAACAAATACGTATAAAAGTAAATAGCAAATTTAAATCCTAAAAAAAGGAATTAGAGAGCGAGTTTAAAATAAAAACAAAACTATTAGAAAAAGAAAGTTGTTTTTAATAAAAAAAGAGAAACAAACCATGTAATTAGCGCTAAAGCTGCTAAGTACAAACAAAATTGTTTCATAAAAATAAATAAAATTTAATTAAAAAAATTAAATTTAAATACAAATTTAATTAAATATTCTTTGCACCATTGCTGCAAGGAATGAAATTTAAATTTAGCCAAATTTAAATTTAATTTTTAACAAATACGTATAAAAGTAAAAAAGCAAATTTAAATCCTGAAAAAAGGAATCAGAGAGCGAGTTTAAAATAAAAACAAAACTATTAGAAAAAGAAAGTTGTTTTTAATAAAAAAAGAGAAACAAACCAGGTAATTAGCACTAAAGCTGCTAAGTACAAACAAATTGTTTCATAAAAATAAATTAAATTTAATTAAAAAAATTAAATTTAAATACAAAATAATTAAATATTCTTTGCGCCATTGCTGCAAGGAATGAAATTTAAATTAACCCCAATTAAATTTAATTTTTAACAAATACGTATAAAAGTAAAAAAAGCAAATTTAAAAATCCTAAAAATAGGAATTAGAGCGAGTTTAAATAAAACAAAACTATTAGAAAAAGAAAGTCGTTTTTAATAAAAAAGAGAAACAAACCAGTAATTAGCGCTAAGCTGCTAAGTACAACAAAATTGTTTCATAAGAATAATGAATTTAATTAAAAAATTAATTTAAATACAAATTTAATTAAATATTCTTTGGCCATGCTAATTTACTATTATATACTCTAATGTATTTAATTAAAATATTAAAAAAATATTTAGTTATGATATTTAGTTATAACATATTTGCTTTTTTGGTTTGTTTATTGTTTATAATACTAATTATTAATTGTAGGGAAGTTCAAAACTAAATTCCGATGATAAGATTATAATTGTTTCTTCATATTGTTTGGGAAATAGGAGTTTTTACATGTTTCCTTTTACATGTGCTATATTTGAGTTAGGAATGCTTGTGCAGCTATTTATGCATCTTAATTTATGACTGTATAGCCTTTTGTATAAATATTGTATTTTATATGCATTGAATAAATTATTGAGAAAGTTTTCATTCATTTTGCAAAATAAACTACATCTAATTCTGTTTTTATATGATATATATTTATATATGTTCCTTGAGAATACATATTAAAAAACTTCATATAAAGAAAGACATATCTATGGAATTAAAGAAAATTGGTTCCAAATCTAAAAAAATCAACAAAATAATTTAAAAAAAATTTTTAATATTCATTTTTGGCTTATTTTATTTTAACGAAATGCACATGTAAATAATATGTAGTAAAAGTTTATAAAGTAAATTTGCATTTGAAATGAAAATATCTTCATGAATAAAATAATAAGAATAATACTGAAACTTCTGGATGTTTATCTAAACTTTGTACTGTTATTCCTTTGGTGAATTTAAAAAAAAAAAAAAAAAAAAAATCTTAAAGGATTCTGATTTTAATGTCACATCAGAGGTTTTGTTCTGCTCAAACTGTTCTGTTGAATCTGCTCTTGGGCTCACTTCTGCTAATACAACGTTTTTCATTTTTACTGTTTTAACTTAATTAAAACAGAAATTATTTTGTATTAAACGTAGATTTTTTTTACACTTACTGTACATAAACTTCAACAGTAAAATCACAAAATTTTTAAAAGCAGCACATTTTTAGAAATTCCTATAGGGTGTGAAATGTTGTCATACATTTTTCTATTTTTCCCCCCCCCCCAGCGTTTTCTTAGTTCATCAGATCAGTGTTTAGTTTTCTAATTAAGATAATTTACACAGCGTTTTTTGTCTAATAAATTCAACTGCTAAATCACAAAATATTTTTTTAAAAAGTAGCCTATCTTTAGAATTCCTGATAGTTTTAAATGCTGCCGTAATGTTTTTTAATATTCCTTATGTTATGTCTTTAAAAATTTGGTGGCAGCATCCTTGTATTTGTGTTGCCATACATCAGTTTTTATATTTGCTGTATTATTTCTTTAAATATCGTACATGGTGTTAACATTTTCTAGCAATATCTGGTTATTTGAAAAATAATTCGGGCACACAAGTAAAAATCGAGACTAATAGCACATCTAGCGCTAAAAAAACTGTTTTATGGAAACAAGATTTTGTTCATTTTCACATTCTAATAATAAACAGCATGACTGGAATATCGCTGCCATCACTCGAAATGTTATGGGCATAGACTTCTACCTCTGTCAATAGAATTCTTTCAGTTATATCTTGAGTAAAATCAGCATAAGTCTTCTCTGATGATGATGTGTCACCGGTTTTATGAACGAATACAATTATTAATCATGTCAAAAAATATCTTGGTTATTATTAATAAATAGCAGGCATGAAAAATGTGTTTAGTTTATCGTTTTTTCTACAAAATTAATACATTTTACTAAAAGGTTTTGCACTTTGAAATAAAGCTACATACTAAATGGTTTTTGATGATAAAAAACATTAGTTTCAATTCCAAATTCTAAATACACACAGGTCTGAAACAATAAAAAACCAATACATTTAGTCATGTGACTTACACTCAGCATGGGAAGAGGCTTCATTCTTCACTAGCAATCTATTACATGTATTTACCATTCCCCAAGTGCTTTTCTTAAAATTTGGGCAGAAAAACAAAATTCTTAGAAATTGGTTTTGCCTAGTTGTGTTAAATCAAAATGACTAATAAAAAGAGAATTAAATATTTATTTTTAATTCATGTTTTAAAACTAAATTTATGTAAAAACATAATTATGTGTGCAGTAATTTTGCTATCTAAGCTATATTGCAGCAGAGCCTACTTTAGAATTTTTGCTAGGGATAAAAAAAATCTTCCTTTATTATGACTTTTTCCCAAATTTGAAATTAAATCCATTTTTTAATATAAAAATTGATTTAAATAATTCATGTTACGTTTTATTTTTAATATCACTTTCAGTTTTTTTTCATCAGTATTAACTTTTTTTTTTTTGAAAATCAATAATCAAAAAGTAACAGAAAAGACCTCGCAAACGTCTTCGTACGCTTTAAAGAAATCTGCACATATTATTAAATATTTAATCAGTTAGTGTATTTCTATCAGTTAGTGTTTTGTGGGATATCCTGCAGCATTTATGACAACTTTCAAACATCTGGTATAGAGTTCACATGTTTCTGTAATATCTGCATTAACGTTCTTCCATCATTGCTGTTTTTCGTTTGGTGTTTGTTTAATGTTGTGTCTTTGTACCCTAACCTCTAATTCTGTCCAAATGTGCTTGATCGGGCTTAAGGTGAGTTTTCGGAACATACGGACAGTTATAGACACACCAAAAGCGAACGTTGAGGGCTGTATGCGTACGATCCTTTATTCTGATAGAATACACTGGTTATCATAAATTTAAAAAAAAAAATCGCAAAAATAGCGATAACTCCCTCAAAAATAAGCCAAACCGTGTAAAATTTGAATATGTTGCCAAGTAAGAGTGGCTGAATAAAACTGCAATATGCAAATTAGTGGTGCTGCACTCGGAAAGTCATCTGCGAGGAAAATAAAAGTCATGTTTGAGCAAGCCCACATTTTCAATGTGGTAGTCATCAGAAATCTGAGATAGCCAATTCGTAATAATGACCTCCAGGCGTCATTTGCCTGCAGAACTACGATGGGGAGCC